TCAAGAAGAAAGGCGGATACAAGAACCCAATATTGGCACAATGGCATCCTGGCTCTGGCTAAATCTACATCTGTCCACTGCAGAGGCACTATCCACAACCTGGTGGAGGAACTAGTATAGTGCAATATTATAACATTTGGAAAAGGTCATTTTAGGATAATATATTAGTATAGGATACACTTTATTTGACTAATGTCTGCCTAGAGATTGTTTATAGTAGGCCTTTCAACTGACAAATAAAACCGTTTTCTGTCTTGTTAAGGTTTGATTAGGGCTAATGTTACCGCATTCATTATAATTTCAGATAGTAGTATTCTATATTGCTTACCACTAGGATAATATTTCGTCTGATGAGTTTACTTTTGGTACGCTGTTCTCATTCATTAAATCCTTGTGCAAGAAATAGGGTCTACATGGTAGTTAGTTTCTAGTTTGTTAATGCTAAGTGCCAACTTGTCAATAATCATAACCATTCATGCAGGACGAGTTCAACATTTTTAAAGTTTGCTGAAGCGCCTCAATCTTTTTTTAACCTCCCGCCCCATCCAGGCTGTGATTGGTCAGTTCATGAAAAATTACATTGATGAGTAACTTTATGCACACGCTTGGATAAAAAAGCACCCAATCTTCTCCCTACTCTCTCTGCTGATGGAGAGGGCAGAAAAGAGTAATGTTACTGGCAGCTTGTGAGAAGTACCGGTACGCAAGAAAAAGTCCCGGTACACCAAAGAGTAAAAAGTAGAAGTGCTGGTACTGTGCACCGGTGAATACTGGCCCACTTCAAGCACTGCGTAAGAACATTTTTTAGGCTGTATAAATGACATGTCCCAGTTTTATGCAGGGTTATGTATCGGACTATATCTATTACTGAGCTTTAGCGGTGCTAAGGTAAGCAATCCATTTCATATGAAGCTACAGTCAGCGGGTGGCTAGCTTACCTTAGCACCGCTAAAGCTCAGTAATGAGCATAATATATATCATTTGTTTAATCTGTACAAAAACTTGAGTGTAAAAATTACAATTTCAAGGCCAAGAAATAGATAAATAACCCTGCATAAAACTGGGACATGTCATTTGTACGCTTTGTTTTTTGTCCATATTTAAACAAATTAGATATAATGCAGCGTGTTTTCGGACAGAGCCAGGGTAGCTGTTTCCCCCTATTTCTGGTATTTGTGCTAAGCTAAGCTAACCTGCTGACTTTAGCTTCATATGAAATGGATTGAGATGAGCGTGATATCTTCTCATCTTCTCATCAACCTCTTCGCCAGAAAGCGTATATTCTCAATACGTCTTATTATTCCTTTAATCTTCGCCGACCCCAGGTGGGGAACAACGAAGTTAGATTATAGATTGTCCCAGCATGTGCTTACAGGAAAACAGCTGGCTCAACCTGCCACTGAATTAAAAAAGAAACACTTTAATTGTGAGCCACCTTACTGTTACAGAAACACATATTTATTACATAAACAAAACACATGCATGTAGGTGTATGGCGCACTGTGGGACTCTCACCACTACTTTCACCTCTGGCCCCCATCGTCAACCTGCCATTCAGACCGATCATGGATACCAGGAATAATCAAGAACAAAATAATTACCCCGCTGATTAACCAGCTCGAGCTTGTTCACGACACAAACACCACTATCTACATCATTATCGGCTTACAGAGCAACTCAATTATGCCTCATCTTGACAGCTCTGACAGGATTCAGCTTCCTCTTGTGTGTACATTTTTGTGAAGGGTCTAAGCAGCTGCCAAGTGAGCAGCGGCAGGCCGCAGTCAGACAATCCAGCATGTGGGAGATTTTTTTTTAAATAGCCCCTGAGTTCAGGTGGGAGAGAAATCCTATACATTAATGATAAGAGTATCTGGTGAACTAACACTGTGTGCTGTATGGGAGGAGATTCTCATATTATAGGTTGCATAAAGTCACTTTACTGCTTCAACTGTGCAACCAACACGTCATCTCATCAGAAAATTTAAATACACAATAACCGAAACCTAAAATAGTGTTAATACAGTAAAAAACTACAGCAAAGACAACAAACCAAAAGAAATAAGAACATTGTGAGGGTCTTATTCAAGGTAGGAGTGGCTATTTTCATAGCCTCTTCTTCGCTGAATACTTACACAACATATTTTCTTAATTAAGGTAGTATGGTGTTGATAAAACATTTCATAAAAGCTTGTTAGTGAACTGCTCGCTGCATAAGTTGATACCCTTAATATAGAGTGGCCTCATTTCTGATAAAATATTAGAGTGCACCGGGAAGTGGAATGGCTTCTATCGCTTTATTGTAGTTAATTTATTGTATCGCTTTATTGTAATAGGTTTTTGTATAAATCATATTCACATAGCAAGAAAAAACTGATTTCTCCCTTTTTTTTAAAGATTGCATCTAGGAAGGTATACAAAATGGACTCTTTGTGCAGAATGTAGTAATTAAGCTATTTCAATTTCAGAACCCCATTCATAACAGAGAGGTCTATGGCATACAGATCACGCTCCTCAACACTCTTGACCATGTCAGCTCTCCTAATGTAATGATAATTATTCTTCCAGATAAAGCTGAAATTCATATTATTTATTAATCCAGCCATTCTGTCTGAGATTTCTAGTGAAAAAGCGGGACACGTATACAAATTCCTCTTTGTATATGTGTGTGTATACCTCTGTGTGTGTGTGTGTGTGTGTAATGCATCTCACTGAGCACATGATTATCCCTCAGCGCAAGAAGAAAGACACTTTTGCTGTTAATACACTTCTGCTTCATGCGATGCTGCAGTCTACCAGGACAGTGCAAGCACTCTAGTATAGTTGTTTCAGACACTCTGTCACAACAGCAACAGTGGCTGTCTTTCTGCAGAACATTAATAAGCTGCTGCATGACCTAGCTTTAGAAGTTAGAGAAAAATGTCTGTGTTTTTAAGAATTCACATCTGTGCATGCCTAGATTTGACCTCTTAATGCCATCACAGACCGGATTTTTCTGACAGAGATGGTGACATTCATAAAATGTACCTGGACGATGCTAAACCACCAGTATAACATAGGACATATTTATGCAGCACTCTTATAATATCCACATCAACTAGTTCAGTGCAATCCAGGAGTTATTTGCTTCAGTGTGCCCACTTTCCCTCAACTTGCCTCATGTATTTCCCCTGAGGTTCCTACATTCAGCAGAAAGCCTTTCACCAGTCTCCAGAGCATGAACATTTTGCATCACCCATAAACTTAATCTCTTTTTATTGGATTTCTCCTGTTACACATGAGCACAAAACTATAGGTCTGGAAGGAAGCCCTTATTCTTTGATTCTGAGGGCCTGACACTAAAAATCTTCCTCTAAAAAGTTCCTCTCACATTTAACATATAAGACTCGTCTTCTGCTATTGAACTCTATAGTAGATCAAGACATTGAGCTAATAATCGGTGGTTGTAAGAAAAATACACCACTAAACAAACGTGGAAACTGAATTAACAGCTGTATCTTTACTAGAAACACAGACGGTATTTAGGGTGGATCCTTCATTTAGGTGTTGTTTCACATTCAGTTCCAAACATATAAAAGTCAAACAGAGCAAAGAGAGCAAAGAGAGCATGAAACAGTCACTCTTTGCTTTACAAGGAGAGACTGACTTCTTGTAGACACATGAAATGATTGTTTTACTCTACAGTAAATATGGCACAGCTGACTTAAACTAAACATAAACTTGGCCTTTTTTTCTCCCTAGTGTTATGAGGGGGAATACCATTGCTTTAAATACTTTGTTAATACATAGGTACACATGGGAGTACTTACGCACTAGCCCAGATGGTGGACCCTCTAATTTGAAATCCAAGGGTATAATTAAGAGACAAAAAAATTAAAAAGGAAAGCAGGAGGATTTGCTGCTTTGACATGAAACGCGGCACAAATTACAGCAAGGAGAAGCTTGGTTTGTGTGGTCATCATTATTAGATATTCACATTAAAACAAAATATTCTCTGGGAAGGCAGCTTTGCATGGGGATCCGGCTTTAACTTTGAAGTTCCACAGATAGACGCAAGCATATCCCTGCGTATTAGTCTTAACTTGATGGCACATTAAATGGATGATATCAGATGACAGAGCTGATGGTTTAGAGTTCATTTCAGGGGGGAAATGGTGTTTTGCATGGTTCAGTTTAAGAGACAATAGCAAGCAATGCAGTGCAGCAGTCATATTGTGATGGAGATTAAAAATGTCATAAATCATCATAACCACTGTAAATGTGCTCAATCAAAAAGACTACACTGTGATTTATCAGCTTCACGCAGCTGATGCAAAACAGGTAAACAGATCAGGACAAGGGGCGCAGGATGTGTTGGAGAGTCGAGTGCGTAAAAGCTGCTGGCTTGTGTTACAGGCTCATCGTTTCCCTGATTAAATCGAAACGCAACCTACAGGACGACACAGCACGGGTTCCCGATGATTTCTAAGCTTTTTCCAGATTTACACGGACCCCCATGTGGTAGAAGTTTGCCGCAGGGGCTCCACAGGTCTGAGGGCACCTATGGATACGGTTTGGACCTCAAGTGCTTGGTGTGGAGGTAATACTGAAACTGTCGTCTAATCAGACTAGTCACTTCGCCCACATTATCCCACTCTCCTGTCTTCAAACTAATCAAATAACAACAAACCAGTTTCCCATTTTGCTTTGGTTGCTGCCTGTAAACACAGCAGTTAAAGACATCATGCAGTTTGGGAAAGAGTGCCGTACTGGGATTCGGACCAATGCGATGAACTATGAATGAAGTTACTGCGGCTGCAATCTGTGGCATGTCCGACACCAAATAGGAATATGACACTATAACATTCAAATTAACGTAGTTCTTGGGTGTGTTGTAGCCTACAATTTCTGATAGGATAACAGCTTGTCCGATGCGCTAAGGAGCAACTTTGATGACGCGACAACGCAGATATTTATCGACACATTGCCTCAGAAAAGGCGAGTAGAAAAGTTTGACTTACCGGTGTCAAAATTACTAAAAGCCGCAGAAGAAATAACCCCAGCGAGAAGAAGTGCAGAGGTGACTGTCCAGGAATCCATCGTGTGATTAAAGAGTCTGAGCTGGCTCTCAGGTGAAGTGCAGCCTGACGGACGGATGCGCAGACCGGAGGGCTGCTGGACTTGACTGACTGACTGGTTGACTGTCCGGGTCTGTGCAGGAGTAGCTCTTTGACCGGCGTCAAAAGTCCCTGAACTTCAAGGCAGGTCTCACAACTACTACTACACTGACACCACAAAGACGGGAACAGATAGTAGAAGCAGGGATCCTATTTCCAACCCATGTGACAGGAAATAGGGGCAATAGATTCAACCTGCAGCGCTGGGGAAGAGGCAGACAGAGAGGAGGAGGAGGAGGAGGAGGAGGAGGAGGAGGAGGAGGAGGAGGAGGGAGTGGGTTGGGGTTGGAGGGTGGACTCAGTAGTGCAGCGAAGAGCAGGTCAGTAAAGTAGAAACTGATTTTCCATCTTTAAAGACTGGATTTAAAGCAGTTTCCCACACTAATATCATAATAAGTTAAAACACTAAAAGTGTTTTTAGTGAAACACTAAAAACACACAGAGGAAAACTATTATAGAGGGTTGTCATGCATTAGATCTCTCTAGTAATATTATAGGCATAAAAGTGATGCCACAAGAGCTCAGAACTGCCATAAAGTATGACAGTTCATTGTGAACACGCTGTGAAGAACCAGAAACACAAGTTTCCTTCTGGGAACTTATTATGGGAGTATTGTCTAGGTTTTATGTCGGGGTCTAAATCTAATTGGGGGTCCATTACATTTGGAAACCCCTGGGCTACGACATATTCAATACTAAGCCGGTCACAAAGGCAAGTCAAACAACCATAGCTGTACATCATTTTAATAGCAGAACAGCAAAGGGGGGAAGGCGAGTGACAAAGATTTGCACATGATCTTGGTACAGCTGTGAGTATGTAGCCCTGTAGCTGAATATAAAGGGGATTGACTAAGATGTGGATGAGGATATGAAGGGAAAAAACTTTTGATCCCAAAACCATTTATATTTTATTTAATTTGTCTGCCTGTTTGCTTACATTTAATACATAGAAGTAGGAAACCTGTGGTGGGAATAAATGGACATTTTAAAGCTGGTGATATTGTTGTTACGTTGACATGAATATAAGGACACTCAGCAGATTAGAACATAAAATCAGGGTGTGAAAAATATTAAATGTACTCTTGAATGACTTTCCCTTCACGTGTCTCCAGTGAATCTTACCCACTGGATAGAAACAGGTGCACTGTGACTGTGAGTGATCCTCACCTCTTTGCCATTTCAGACTGGCAGCCTCATCTTCAGTGTGAAACAGCACCCTCGTGTGTTTCACTGTAAGCATCATGCGGCACAGGGAAGAAGTGTCCAAGCCAAAAGCAGTCATTTAACCTAAAAATAGAAAATCCAGGATGATCTCACTGCTCTTGAAGAAAAAAGGCCCAACATTTATTTAGCCAAAACCGACAGGGTTGAGATGGGGAGCACAGGGAAAGTAATCTAGCATGACGTGCGCCCTTTAGAGAAATGTAACTGTGTGGCCTGTGCGGGTAAAAACTGCACTTATATTACAGTGAAAAACTGAGGTTTGAGAGAAAGAGATGTATTATAATTGAACCATACTGACAGTTTACTATGTCTATAACTGAGATGTCTAACCTTTTCTTGAAGGTTGAAACTTTTCTGAAACTGCGTGACAGCTGGATATTATATCCTTTACATATCCTATCAGTGGTGAAAAAATAACTTAGTAGATTTACTTTAGTACAGTTCTGAGGTACTTTACTTCAGTATTTTAATTTTCTGCTAGTTAACACATTTTTGCATCAGTATACTTTAGTATTGTAATAATCTAATATGGAATATATACTGTACATTCACAGGGGGCATCCTTTGAGCTTAAAGTATATTTTGCTGATAATACTTGTAAGGGGCTGCAACCATAAATTATTTTCATTATCAATTAATTCATCCACTGATAGTGATGTTTTCATGTGTCTTGTTTTGTCTCACCAACAGTCCAAAATCAAAACAGATTCAGTTTCCTATCACAGACTAAGAAAACCAGAAAATATTCACATTTGTGAATTTTTGCTCAAAAACAATTCAATTTATCGACTAGTCATTGCAGCTTTATGCTCATGTACTTTACTTACGATTATGATTGCAGAACAACTTGTAAATGAGTATTCTTACACTGAAGCAATGCAACTTTAACTTGAGCAAAGCACCTGAATACTGCAGGTCATCTTCCACCACTGTATCCTAAATACTGTTATCATTATTCAACATGTGACATGTAATGAGTATGTTCTTATACAAAGCAGTCTTAGTGTCCTCAGACTGAATGAAAACTATGGGTCCATATGAAAATTAACTTGAATTGGAGTCCTGTTATTACCTCCCATCTTCCCTGCTATCTGTCTGTGATGCTGTGCACTAGTAGCAAGGCTCCCTTTGTCTTCTGTGTGTGTGTGTGTGTGTGTGTGTGTGTGTGTGTGTGTGTGTGTGTGTGTGTGTGTGATCACATGCTGGGCTTGTCTGTACACGCTGCCTGGCCACATTCCTTGTGGTCTGCTGGAGTTACTGTAATTCTGTTCCGTCTTTTTGCTCTCTCCAGATAAAACTTGGCACTTCCACACATGACATTCACACTTTATTCTTTTGGCATTTTGCCTTTTAGACAGTTTTTCATCAGGTTGAAAACATCAGATGACGAGAATCAAAAGTTCCTCACAGTACCATGTGTGTGAGAGCATTTCACCCTTGGCCAGTGTGTCTTGCCTGCTGAGCTATGCAAGACAGAGGCTGGAGGTCTCATAATACAGTGAGCTGTATTAGAAAGTACGCTGGCCCAGGTCATCCCTGACCTGCCTGGCAATGAGAAGGTATGCATAGTTGAATTAAAAAATTGGCCCAGATGCTTTGAATTCATAAATTCAGGAGCCAAGACTATGTCATGTCCTTGTTCCCTCTTGGGTAAACAAGAGTGCCTGGCCCTGAATCTTATGGCATATATATGTATATATACGTATATGTATATGTATATGGCCATACATTTTGTTTCATCTGAGAGAGAGAGAGAGAGAGAGAGAGACAACTAAATTTAAGGGTCAGTTCACTCAGATCTCAGATTATTGTATTTATTCCAGGTTTTGAGTCTTTGACATTTCTGCCTCAACTTCAGTTAGGCTAATTAATATTATATAATATAATTTTTATTTTATTTCTCACATCATAAAAAATTAAAAATTAAGAATGACTCGATTTGAGCTGAGCTGTAGGAAATTGAGATTGGCATGTTCACTACTTTCTGACAACTTGCAGACAAAACGATTACTCAATTAATCAAGAAAATAATTGGCAAAATTATCAGTAATGAAAATAATCACAGCTTGCAATTAAATTAATTGATAAAATATGTTCTTTTTGTAAGCCAATTTAAAACTAGTATGTTAAAGTGTGTACACACCTCTCTTCTTAGGCTAAATTTAGGGGATTGGGAAAGTGTGTCTTGCAACCTGATGAAAAGATCTGGGAGGTTGTTATGTTTTTTCAGTTTTTGGCAGTAATGTGACAAGAAGAAGGATGACCATTTTGTCTCCCTCTTTGACACCACCATTGAGTCATTGTTTGCTGTCAGGATCGTTCTCCTCACAGCCAAAATAATCTCTGCTATCACTTGACTTAATTGCATTAATTAAAAACAACTTGCTGGCACACACAGTGACGCACAACTTCTTGCATCTACTCCTATGGGGGACACAGTGAGTCAATGCGATTACTCAACCAAAGCATCTGGTTGTTGTCTGAAGTCTGTGCGACCTGGCCAACAACCCCCACACGGCCACATCATTAGTGGTTGCACACACAAGACAACACACATTATGGTGTCACTCTTTGACCCCAGCAAAGCTTGGATAAAGTGGGCTCGCCTTGACAAATGACTGCCTCTGGCCCTATCTGTAGCTGTAGACCTGTAACCACCATCTTCTCTGAACTCTTATCCCCTACACACACACAAACACACACACACACACACCTGTACGGGCCCCTGAGCTTACCCATGTTCAAAGCCAAGATAAAAGCCAACGTTTACATCCAGCCACAGTAGCAATGCAACCCCTCCTCCTCCACCTCTCTCCGCTGACACACAGCCATCATCCATCTTGCTAGGCCTCCCGGGTCTCTAATTAGGCTCCGTGTGGGTGACACCCTCTGGAATGTTTATTGTAACATCACTCAGCTTTATCTACTTTAAAAGAGAGACCAAAAGAGAAGGAGAAATAATAGAAAACAGACAGAGAAGCAGAGAAATAATGAGAGGTGGATGGAACACCAAGATATTTATTAGGACTAAACTTATTAGGACTCCTATTACTGGAAATAGGTATATTATTGTTTTTTCCCCAACTTGGGTTCCATTGTTATATTTCGTCTGTCTTTTCTATCAGTTATGATGGCACTGTACTCACCAGATAATTGCAGAGATCTGGGAACATGATGACCACGCTACAACAATATCCAGTTGGAAAACAACAGTATGACAATCAAACAGGTGATAAAGAAGCCAACAGTTTTTCAAGATTATTGAAACCACTTTTTTGGAGGAAAGTAAGCACATTTATCTATAGCAAAATGTGCTCTGGTAAACTCTGTTTCCAACAGTTTGAGTAGTTGGGGCAAGTTTAACGTTGACTTTTGTTTTCTCTTCATGGCTAACCTGGGGGTTTGTTGATAACATGTTTGACCGTCAGACTGCTCGTGTTTCTTGTCCTGTCAGATTTCTTTTTAAGACCGTAATCTGAGATTTTAGCAGTTAACTTGGTGAGTACAATCTCATTATTACAAATAGGAATGATGGTCAAACCTATGAAAATAAGTAGTAAATTTTCATTTTAAACCCGCACAGCATAACATAAGACATTAAGAAACATAATAACAATGTAATCTAGAATTATTCTTTAAGATGACTCTGTGGGTTGATGTGTTTACTTTCCATATGGACATTTGCATAGGTGCTTTTGTTTGTCCAATTTGAAAATAGGTCATAAGGAGAAGTAATTTCTGAGCACAAGATGAGAATGACTGGTAGAGCATCAACCCAGTAGCCATTTTTTACCCACAGTGGATGCCAGCCATTCATGTTTCTTGTGCCTTGTCCATTGGCCTCAAAGGGGCTAAAATACCGAAGGCCTCATGAGTTTCAAAACCAAACCAAAAACCAAACCTAAAGCATCTTGGTCCCTGTAAACCAGAGCCTGGTCCCTGCACAAGTCATCATTCCATTTTTGG